CTCACAGGCTTTTAAGACCCCAGACACTACTCACCAACGTAGAATGTAGAGCATTATATTTATAAGTAGTGTCATGCCAATTGAGCTAGATGTTCCCCGAGACCATGGTCCCCAGAGCGGAGGGCTTCTTTCTTATCCATGATCTCTGTGTTTGTATCTGAGGATGGAATGCCATTTGGAAGGATTAACAATTTCCAGGAGTCCCTGGGTGGTGCTAATGAATAGTTAATACACTTGCTCCTAATTGAAAGGTTGAAAGTTAGAGTCTACCCAGACATGCCTAGGAAGAAAGACCTGGCAATCTACAGCCAACAAAAAAATCAGCCATTGAAAACCCTATGGAGCATAGTTCTACTATGACACACATGGGGTTGCCATGTGTTGGAATTGACTAGATGGTAACTTTTTGTTTGTTTTTTTAATTTTAAAACCCCCTCCTTGTTGGCATGAATTTCAGATTCAGGGGGTATTTTAGTGTTTTTATAGTCACAAGCAGCCCGGATACAAAGTGTCTTTGGCAATATAATTACTTGTTAAATTTAAAAGACTCTTTTGTGCAAATAACTCTTCCAAGGACGGTTCTAAAGTAAGAGGAATCAGAACTGGCTTCTCATATTTTTACCCCTGTCCCTACTTGATACTTTTCTGAACACTCTCAGTTCACCTCTTTATTAGAACCATCTTTATGATGCAGACTAATGTGTGTTTTTCTGCAGTTGCAAGAGAAGAGGGAACATTTTCTTCTTATCTTTCTGAGGTTCTTTTCACTAGCAGTAAGGAAGATCTGAAGTTCCAAGGTTAAGCATCAAAATTCCACTGTGGGCACTGAGAAAAAACAGCAGGCCTGAGAAGTTAACAACTTTCACTGTGGAAAAGGAAAGCGCACAAGAGAATTTTATCAAGTGGACTATGAAGGTGCAGGTACACAGCCAACATCTTCCTATCAGATACTTTATGTCCATCATCACACCAAGTCTAGGAAGGAGAGATAAAGCGTCTGGACCCAACTCTCAGGGCTAGGAAGTGGCAGAAACAAGATTTAAACCCAGGATTGTTTAATCCAAAGCTGGAATTCTTAACCATTGTAGTAGACCTTGGGTGGCATAAGTGGTTTGTGATAGACTGCTAGCCTAAAGATTGGTGGTTCAAACCCATCCAGCAAAAACTGCCCTGGCAATCCACTTCTAGAAAGATTACAGCCAAGAAAACCCTACGGAGCACAGTTCTGCTCTATAACACATGGGGTTGCCATGAGTTGGAATTGACTCAATGGCAACAGGTTTGTTTTTGGTAGTAGAATATACTTTTTTGTAGAGGTTAAAGTCTAAAGATACCAGTCAATGCAAAGACTGATAATAGAGCATATGGTGGGAGCACTTTCTAGGGTTTATTGTGTAGGTTTGGCCCAAACCAAAAACCCGTTGCTGTTGGGTTGATTCTGACTTATAGAGACGCTATAGGACAGAGTAGAACTGCCCCATAGGGTTTCTGAGGCTGTAAATCTTTATGGAAGCAGACTGCTTCATCTTTCTCCCACAGAGGGGATGGTGGGTCTGAACCACCGAACTTTTCTGTTAGCAGCCAAACTCTTAACCACTGCACCGCCTTTCGTAGGTTGGGCAGATAGCCCAAACTGTGGCTGTGGCAAATAAACAATCACAGTCACAAAAATATACACTGACATGTTTGCACAAGGACAAACATAAACACAAGCACACATAAACAACACACACCCAGCCACAGACACAATTGCAAACATACACAATTACAATGTGTCACAATCACGGTAGAAACCGAAACACACATAACCACAACCACACAAAAGAACGTGGTGAAGATCTGCTTCTTTCTTATGTAAGCATCCCTGGGGAAGCGGGTTGGTGAGTATATGTATGGGAGTGTGAGGTTCAAGGACTACACATCCCAAGAGACACCAGGAATATTATCCCCTTTAAGTCTATGGTCAGTACAACCCTTGCATCATGGGATTTATAGTTTATTTCTTTGCACAGGCCCATGGGCTTCAGAGTGGGTGGGCTGCTCCAATATCCCTTGGAAAAAAGAAGCTGTTGCCTCTGTCCAGATTTTGGCCCCTTTCTATGTGATTTGTATGGGTCTCTGTTCCTATCTCAAAGTGCCTGCATCCGTCCCAATTTGAACTTAGGTGACGGTACTTAATTTTTATGGAAGCAGATTGCCACATCTTTCTCCTTCGCAGCGGTGCCTCGGTTCCAACCTTTTGCCGACCTTTTTGTTAGCAGCCCAGGGTTTAACCCAATCGCCGCCAGGGCTCCTTCAGAAGCCAAAAAGGCTTGGGGGCGGGCAGAGCCGGGACTACATTTCCCAGAACGCTCCACGCCGCGGGTGGGAGCAGGTGGAGGGCGGGCCAGTGAAGGCTCTTGGGGAGCCGTCATTGTGGACTCCGGTCCGTGTGATCCTTTCTCCAGTGTGATCCAGGCGTTACCATTAGACATTCTGGACTTCTCATTCCATAGCCTAGCGTGGTCTTGGATGCTGCAATAGTGATCTCTGCCCTTTGGGTTCTAGTTGCCCTTGAGCTCGAATTCCTGGGGTGCCGTGGGGCTTTACCTAGCAAACCTGTAACTTTAGGGGCTTGGCCCTGCAGACTACATTTCCCAGCCTGTCGTAAGACTGTCAGCTGATTCCCATCGCCTCTGAACTGCAAACTTCACGTCCCAGCAGGCCCTGGACGGTTCCCCAGGGAGACTTGGGAATTAATTGCCTTTTTGGCTTCTGAAGGAGCCCTGGTGGCGATTGGGTTAAATCCTGGGCTGCTAACAAAAAGGTCGGCAAAAAGGTTGGAACCCAGGCACCGCTGCGAAGGAGAAATATGTGGCAATCTGCTTCCATAAAAATTACAGCCTTGGAAACACTATGGGGCAGTTCTATTCTGTCCTATAGAGTTGCTATGAGTTGGAATTGACTCCAAGGCAACGGGTTTGGCTTTTTAATGCTTCTGGCTTGCGGACTCAATTTCTCACCGTGCCCTGGAGTTTCCCACAGCCTGGGGAAGCCATTCATTGATTCATTCAAAAGCATTTTCTATCACCGACTATCAGACTCAGTTCTAGGCACCGGGAATAAAACAGTGAATACAGAAGACAAAAATCTCTGCCCTCGTGGATTATTTCTAGTTGAAGAGCGCATATAAAATAAATAAATTATATAGTTTGTGGAAAGGTGACAAGAAGTATGAGAAAATTAGTTCTATATCTTTTAGGACTCCCCAGGCAAGCCAGACGATTTCCCAGCAGGCCCCGGGGCCTGCTAGACTACCCACCCCCATCCCTCTCCGTCCCCGTTTTATACTACGCACTACATTTCCCAGTGTCGACGGTATGCTTTCCATTCAACACCTGGGAGCTGCAGACTTCCCAGTGTGCCTCGGGGCAGAACTGGTCTAGGGAATTGTCTTTAGCAATTTCCGGTTATAGACTCCATTTCCCAGCAATTCTCGGGGCCAACCATTTCCTCCTTCGCCCAGCTCACCACTAGGCAACTGCCTGTCGCAGCCTGGCGGCAGACTCCATATCCCAGCGCTCCCTGGGGCGCCGCCGCCGTGACGTCAGCGCGCCGGGCGGGGGCCGGGGCATCCTTTGGGCGGTGCGGGGCGAGTAGCAGTTCCCGGCGGCCCCCGGGGCGGGCTGGCGGCG